ATGAGAAAATTGCATTTCTCAAGTCGGACGTGGAAACCATACTCAGAAATCCTGTTGAAAAGGGCCTCCAGATTTCTGCGATGCTCTNCTTTTCCGCAGTAGTGAGACTTCTACTTGCATGGCAAATGGCCTTTTCTGTACCTAGACATCCTGTGAAGAATCACGGCTTCAATTCCATGGTCCGATGCATCAGCAGCAACTATGATTTCCAAACTGGGATCGAAGTGTGTCAGAAGTAGATCCAAGGATAGTACTTCTTTGGCGCGTTTGAAAGCCTCATCACACTTGCTTGTCCAGCTGAAAGGGACATTTTTCTTCAGAAGTTCATCAAATAGGGCGCGTTTTTGGCGCACTTCGGCCACAAATGATCCATAGTAACTGATCACTCCCAGAAACCAGCGGACTTCCGCGACATTCCGTGGCACTGGCATCTGGCGGACAGCCTCAATTTTCTCCGGGTCAGGACGACGTCCGTCCTTATCGAAAATGAATCCGAGATAGCGAACCTTAGGCATGAGAAAATTGCATTTCTCAAGTCGGACATGGAAGCCTGTTGAAAAAGGCCTCCAGATGTCTGCGATGCTCTTCGTATGTGTACCCTGTGACAATGACGTCATCCAGATATGCGGCGACGCCTTGTAGTCCACAAATCATAGAGTCCATAATTTGTTGAAATGCCAGGCGCCGACTTGACTCCAAAGGGTAGACGATTATAACGGTAAAGGCCCCTATAAGTGTTTATCGTCAACATCTCCTTCGATCTGCTCTCGACTTCTATCTGCCGATATGCGTCAGCCAAGTCAATTTGTGAAAAGACTTGTCCTCCATTCACCTTCGTGAGCACCTCTTCCGCTGTAGGTAATGGGTGTTGGTGCAACTGCAGGGATCGTTCAATCCTGTTGAAAAATCGGCGCATAAGCGAATCTGCCCGTTCTTCTTCTTGACTGCAACAATGGGTGCGGCCCATTCCGAATGATTGACTGATGAGATCACTCCATCGGAAACTAGCTGGTCAATCTCTGCATCCAAATCAGGAATGGAGGCAAAAGGAACTGGTCGTTTCTTTTCGAAAACAGGTATCGCGTTCTCTTTCAGGAATAGCTTCGCCTTCGCTTTCCTGCATAGACCTAGCTTGTTCTTGAAAACCTCTGCATACTGTTTCATCAGATCTACCACTAAGGAATTCCTGATAGCTTCTGGTTCCTTCACCATTCGGCTGTGATACTTCTCCTGCAACTCTTTGTATGCAGGGCGGTCTTTCACAGAGAACTCGATATGAAATCTTCCATCTATCTTCATTGGCGATCCATCTGCCGTCTTTACTGGCGTAGCGTAGGGCTCCAAAGCAGGGAATCCTAGCTTTTTCCATGTGTGACGTGATATCAACGTTATATCTGCTCCAGTGTCCAGTTGGAACCGTAGTTTGTGTCCACTGACATCAACATTGATATATGTCCTAGCGTGCTCAGCGGAGAATGTGGCAACATCTTTGCATTTATTCCTCTTAAGCCGGTGGTGCATCCTCTTCGGTTTCTTCGGAAACTGTTTCATGAGAAGAGGACAGAAGGTTTTGTAGTGTGGTCCTCCACATTCGAAGCACTTGACCTTCTTTTTCTGCACGGCATGCACATCATGGCTTGCTTCCATGTTTGCGTTATCCACCTTCAATGCTGTGATGTTTTCGCATTCTGCAACGAGATCTTCGATTGTGAGCGGTACGTCTTCTGCTTGTGTATCAAGTCGACGAAGCATTCTGAGACGTATTTTCAGTAATGAAGGATCCTGAAGTCTCGCCACGAACTGTAAGGTCTTCATTGAAGTATAATCCATCTCCTTCAACGCAGCATCTTCATCCATCCTTTTGATTGTATTCGCGTAATCACGAAACGGTACGTTATCCTGAGTGAGAGGAGGACACGTTATACTCAAGCACTCGTAACGTCTACGTATCAAAGTTTTCTTGGATGTAAACAACTTTTGAAGATTCCTCACCGTCGTGTTGAAGTCGATCTCGTGCGGTTGTGAAGGTAGGATATCATCTGCATACTTACGATATGCGGCATCATCGAGCTTCAGTAGGATGAGGTCTCTCTTCTTATCTTCTGGAACCCTCGAATCTCTTATGATAGACTTAGAGTTAACTTGATAACGTGCAACATTTAACGGAATCACAATATTGTCTGAATGAGGATTCCGATGTAGACCCAAGAGTGAAACAACACTTGTGTTTTCCATACGATCTACTGACTTAATTGCTGCATTGACTTTATCAGGGTTGCAAACTAATTCACGAAGACTCATGTTCATTGATGCAAAAACGGATTTTGATTCTTGGCACTTTCTAATAGCTTCTCTTTCTGTCGCTGCACCAACAACAACATTATCTACGTAAATATTTGACTCCGTTTCTTTATTCAACGAACACTAAGCATCACGACGAAGATTATATTGTATGGAAGCAGCCACTGGAAGGGGTGATGCAGTTATTCCAAAGGGGACCCGCGTGAAGCGAAATGTTACCACATTAGTTTCTGACAACGGTGAGTCCGGATTTTTTTATCATAAGAATCTAGTTGCAGTTGTTCTCTCTAACCGACTTGCAGTCTAATTTGCAAATATGCTTCCTCTACGTCCGAAAGAAGCAAATATTGATGTAAACGAGCACGAATTAGTATACCGACGAGATCTGGTAATATTGGCGGTCCAGAATGCAGGCAATCATTGAGGGCTAGGTGCCCTTTCGTAGTGAGACGGCGCATCAAGCACCACTCTGTGTTTAATAGTAGCCGATGACTCTTTGACTACAGCCTGATGTGGGATACAATAAATTCGATGATTATCAAAATGGTCTCCCCTGACTTTTTCAATTATCCCGTTTCGCAACAAATCATCAAACGTTTGTTTATAGAGTTGTCATAAATCAAGTTTCGTGCTTACCAGGGAAGGATCCCAAGTCGAAGTGGCCATTTGAAATGAGACCTACACTGCTAGACGTGTTTTTGGATGC